AGAGAGTCTAGCTATTTCGAGTTATACAACAGAAGTCGTTTAAAGTTGTTATTCATCGAAGACTGACATCAGTTGGAGGAACAAAGGAAACCTGGGAGCACTGGACAGCTGTTTCGTCCTAGTATGGGACTCCTCAGCAGTGCGCACCAACGACCCCACCAGCAGGGATCCAACCCGCGACCTTCAGGTTCCGCGACCAGCGCGTTACCATTGAGCCACTGGGTTACAATCCAATGCTCCATATTTCCAACTTCTGTTAGCTCACGATATAGCGCAACCGCCACCCAATGTCATCGTTGAGTATTTGTCCTCACGGCCATCAGGCTTGACTCCACTGGTCACGACTTGTCATTGGAACTTCGGGAATACTTCTCGAAGCTAGTCACCAACGAGCACTAGTTCAATTAAATTTTGAGGGGGTTGTGGAGATTTGGAAATATTTCAAGTTGTTATTCATCGAAGACTGACATCAGTTGTCAGAAGTCGTTTAGCGATGATCTACTCTTTTCAGCGATATCATTCTCTAGCTGTTCAATCGCATATATATATATATATATATATATATATATATATATATATATATATGTACATATATAAATTATTCACATTGTAAGAGGAAAAATATATTACGAAATATTTTTGAACGGAGTTCATGTATGATTAAAAATCACATTACAAGAAAAAAATTACGTAATGTTTGAAATAGTTATGGAGAAAAATTTTTGTAAACACGTGCCAGCTTGGTTCCACAATGGGGAAAGGAGAACAGTTCACAGCTGTATTCTAGAACATCTGACAGATTACCACTACCCAGTAAGTGCAGAAAACAGCTTTAGAGTCATCTATGCAGTTCACACAAATCTTACGAAAGGTGTACGCCGAAAACTCCTTCAAACCGCGGAAGCTATAGCAATTAATATTTTGAAGCCTGAACTCTGCGTTCAAAAGAAATTTGTCCAGCCGCTCGAGTTGTAATGGACGTAACCTATAAGGAAATCTCCACCTTTAAAAACCTCTTTATTCAGATCATCTTACACATTATATTTTTCCACTCCTAGAATTCTGATTTCTCTTTGCATTCACCATGTTACATCATTTAACTTAGTAACCAAGTAATAGTCCGATCTTAGTAAGTCTTCTTCTCATTACTACTTCCAACACTAAGTAATTTCTCTTGTAACCTGATTTTAATCATATATGAACTCCGTTCCAAAATATTTCATGAAACATTTTTTCGATTACAATGTGAATAATGTAAATATATGTGCTGCTGTACAGCTTCAGAATGATATCGCTAAACGTCTTTTGTTCTATTCCAAGTTACATGACATTCCAGGCAGAAAACCATGTTGACAGTCGTTTAAGATTGAATTCCTAGATAAGCTATAACAACATTAATCATTTATTACTCTCTGAATGACCCTGTCAACAGAAGAGATAACGGAGATTCGTCTACAGTTAGAGGGAAATAGTTTGTTTCCAACCTTAAATATTGGGACGACAGCCATCCGTTTCCAATTAAAGAGTAACCTGCATTCCAGAAACGAGTATCTGAACAGGTTTGCTGGTGGGGCACTCAGAATATCTGCACGACCATTCTTGAATCCCGTCATTTCCTCAAGACTTATTCGGGTTCAAGTTCCTTAAGATTCACTTAACAATAGAAGGTTCATTATAGGCTTGCTCAAGTAGTTTCCACCTGTTTTGCACCAACGAACCTACTTTGAAACAGAAAAATGTCTCGTAGGTAGACACTTGATACTGAATTTACAACCGCATACAAGAACACACCCACTGTTCTCTGAATTTTTTCTTGACTTCATCCACTGTAAATGACAGATTGACTTGAGTTCAAAACTGCAATCGTAATTCTTCCATATAATGAAAGGTCATATTATTTTGTCAGTTACGTTAGTGTACGGGATCACGGAGTGGAGGTCGTGGTGTTTAGCACGTTACTGAGAGGCCAAGCGGAGTGATATATGGTAGGGTGGATGAGAAGTAGAGTCGAAAGAGAGTGATTGAACGACTGGAGGTGGAGTTAGACAGCTCAGAGGACAGGGTGCTTGTGAGCTGGACTACAGAAACATCCCCTGGTGTTGGCTATGACAATGACAAATCTTCTCAGACAAGCACTTCCTGATACGGACAAGAATTCCGAGAGACAGTTCCTGACTTTACAGTTCAACGAAAGTATTCTTTTCCCATAAAATGTTCATAACCATTGAAAAATTTTGATTGAATATCATCTTTATCGGTTGCAATTACTTCGATCTCCATTTCAGCCAGTGTGCGGTAACCTGTTAATATGTCCTGCCCCGCTTTAACAGCTTCCGCAGTAAAATTTATCCTAGGGCAGTTTCCTTCATTCCATATTGTCACGCCACCAAGCCGAAAACTTTCTGTAACCTAGATCACATGGATAACAGTATTCACAATAGTAAAAGTCAAAACACAATCGGCTACATATATATATATCGCATTACACACTTTAGCCTTCAGTCATGTATATATTATATCACGCAATCACATTTAAACACAATAACTCACACTCTCTGAAGCTTTCACTATCTCTGTCTTATTGACGCAGAACTTTATGAATCCCATACCTAAAGGCACATATGAACATCACATTCCCGTTTATATTCCATAATTTTATTATGCCTTCTGACGTCAATTCGTTCGAGTCAGTATTGTCAACATAAATGTGTATGTGTTTCACTATACGAACAAAGAGAACCGTTGAGAATTCAACATTGAATGCAACCCACTTTATGCTCTTTTCCAACAATCATCTCATGAGATTTCATCACTGAATATACATACGATGGTCTGTGAGTGGCAGGGGAAACTGCTGACCAATACAGAATAAATTGTAGCTACTGCAAAGCACTGTGGAAACTAATGAGCGCCAAGCATCCTACGCTCGATGAAATGGTTGTTGAATATATCAACATAGAGATTTACGAGAACTGGAAGTTCGTGTGGGACATCAACTTTCAGGGGATTACACACATCTTATCAAATAGAATATTTGTAGAATATCAACATCTTGCATATTCAAGCAATCAGGGTATTGATGAATTTACTATTTCATTAGAGCATTACACTGAATAACACTTTCGCCTTCATCATCGGTTAACTCATGATACTGTCGTTTTAACACACGAAATATTGATAACATACCATGTTGCAAACTTGGGACGCTAACACATTGTAAGCCTGGGTATTAAAATCTCCGTAATCCTCTTTCCAAGGTAAAAACTGAGGTCTCTCCCGGTTGCGCAACGCAAGTTTCAACACTATCGTGAACCTCTCTACAACAGAAAGCGAGTATACAATCATACTTGCAAGGCAAACGAATATTAGGGGTAACATAATGATTATCTACTGTTTTGTCAGAATATGTATCACTTCAGCAATCGTCTCACTCACACTCAGGTTTGACGGCTCAAACTGAAATGATGATGCACTGAACAATCCTATCCGGAAGTCAGATTGTCCATGCATACAATGTATACACTGTGAACCATTGCTTCCATTACAGGCATAAGTAACGCATGCATCACAACGTTAGCTTTCCTCTTTACTTATTCTCATGACATGATTGGGCATGAAATACGGTGGTCCTGGAAGAGTTTAGTAATTTCAAGACACAGTTTACCAATTAGATAATCTATGCTGAACGTTTCAGCCATCGAAACTGGATATACGGAATCTGCCACACTTTCATTCTGGATCTACTTCTGAGGAATGGTGTGCGTAACGAGTACACTGACTGTTGAAATACCACTCAACATGAGTGCGAAATACACACTCATTTATTTATTTCTAAATGTCTATTTGTTTCAATATTTGTTTCAGTGTTATTAACATGGTGGCGATATGATCACACGCTGTTTGTCGAAAGACTCCGCTTGAGATGAAACACTCTAATTCAGAAATACAGTGAAACATGCTGTTATAGATTTGACAAGTCATTGAGATTACTTGATTCAATCCAGCGACATTATTGACGAACACATGCGTGCTTGGAAAACAAAGTAATGATAAACAGCGAGAATGAATAAAATTTCATTAGGTTTTTCCAGATTTATTTTATAATATACAAGGATTATGTAGAAAATGCACCAAACAACTGTTTTATATGCATAATACTTTTGCCGTGGATCTTCACTTTGTGCTGTTTCCGTCTCACCAGCTAATACATTATGAAAGCAACCACCACTACAGCAAATATACACTCGACAACAATGGGCGCAATTATGCCTGCGTGCACTAGAAAATGGGATAAATGGAGAAAGAAAATATTGAGGAAGGGACAAACGAGCATTTCGTGCTTCTCACAAATTCACGAATAATGGTCAAGTACAAATAAACACATAAAAACTGGAGGTGAAACTGTAGACTCGTTCGCGAAAAATATCAAAGACGGTTAAACATTTCTGAACATGGAAGATTGTGAATGATGACAATAGACTTTGAGAAGGATCAGTTTCATAAACATTGTCCTAGTTCTTATGATCAGAAAATAGGGAAGCAAACATGTGCATTAGATGAAGAAGTGGTGTCAAGCCTAAAGTGGTAGATTACTCGCAAAATCAATGCCAATAGTCCGCATTCATAACTGGTCATTCAAATAGGCATCACAAATTGATACAGACATAATGCTTATAATTATATTATAAGAAAGAGGATTAGGTGACTCAGCATGCGCGTATAAACACCAAGTCAGATTCACTAAGCTAATCAATGATGGTCAAAAAAAAGGAAAAACTAGGAAGAATTGACACTTGTTCAAAGTGCATCATTTCAGACAATGTTACATATGTCCAGTGAAACCCGAGTGCTCGTTTGAAAACTCGACAAACAAGCATGCAGGTGGAACAAAGTAAGTGACCAACCACGAAGTAGAATATCCTATATATTAAGCATCCTATGTACAGCTCAGTGATGCGGTTTTATTTACTTTTCAAGGAGAAGATAAATCCAATATGAAATTACATTCCAGCACACTGTCCACAATTTCCACTCACACTACTACTACAGAATAGACTTGATTCTGAGAAATCTAAGTAATCAGATGACTTACGTGTTGAAGCAGATTTCATCTCAGGTGTTGTCTGTTCAGTCGTAATCTCCTCATCTTCTGGCATGCTTGACATTCTTGTTGACTTCTCATTCATCCTGTCTTCACGTTTGTTTACTGGAGACATGAATGCAAATAGACATGGATGAGTCAGTGAATGATGATTTGCATGAAAGTTTAGTGTGGTGGATGGGTATCTTGGATACAGACGTTTGAGATTTATGCATGTGATGAGGTGTAGCGTGAAGGCGGTAGATTGGATACATATGAGAGTGTCGTTTCATTGGCTGACTGTTTGACTGACTGACTGACTGACTGACTGACTGACTAGCATATTGCCTAACTGGCTCAGTTAATTACTGACATTTCGTATGACTCTTTGACTCTCTGAATGTTGGTTGGTTTTGCGCTTAGTATGGCTTGCAATATTTCCCACTCTATAACACTTTTTTACTACACACTTTGTGAATTTAGGTTTCTCGTGCTTGTTTTAAGCTATACATCGCTCCTTTTTATTGATGATTTTGTGCTTTGTTTCCTAGTTTGCTCTCTGAATTAACTTTCATTTTCTTGTCTCGTTTTTTTTATATTCTACGTTTATCTTTCTAATATCTTTCCCTAAGTTTATTTAAGCATGTTATCGATTTTGATATGATTCTGTTGGTGATAAATTTGTTTTGCTGCTTACTTTTTGTCCTGATTCGGTTTATTTCTATTTCCTCTCCGTTTCTTTGTTCATAACCATTGAAGAATTTTGATTGAATATCATCTTTATCGGTTGCAATTACTTCGATCTCCATTTCAGCCAGTGTGCGGTAACCTGTTAATATGTCCTGCCCCGCTTTAACAGCTTCCGCAGTAAAATTTATCCTAGGGCAGTTTCCTTCATTCCATATTGTCACGCCACCAAGCCGAAAACTTTCTGTAACCTAGATCACATGGATAACAGTATTCACAATAGTAAAAGTCAAAACACAATCGGCTACATATATATATATCGCATTACACACTTTAGCCTTCAGTCATGTATATATTATATCACGCAATTACATTTAAACGCAATAACTCACACTCTCTGAAGCTTTCACTATCTCTGTCTTATTGACGCAGAACTTTATGAATCCCATACCTAAAGGCACATATGAACATCACATTCCGTTTATATTCCATAATTTTATTATGTCTTCTGACGTCAATTCGTTCGAGTCAGTATTGTCAACAAAATGTGTATGTGTTTCACTATACGAACAAAGAGAACCGTTGAGAATTCAACATTGAATGCAACCTACTTTATGCTCTTTTCCAACAATCATCTCATCAGATTTCATCACTGAATATACATACGATGGTCTGTGAGTGGCAGGGGAAACTGCTGACCAATACAGAATAAATTGTAGCTACTGCAAAGCACTGTGGAAACTAATGAGCGCCAAGCATCCTACGCTCGATGAAATGGTTGTTGAATATATCAACATAGAGATTTACGAGAACTGAAAGTTCGTGTGGGACATCAACTTTCAGGGGATTACACACATCTTATCAAATAGAATATTTGTAGAATATCAACATCTTGCATATTCAAGCAATCAGGGTATTGATGAATTTACTATTTCATTAGAGCATTACACTGAATAACACTTTCGCCTTCATCATCGGTTAACTCATGATACTGTCGTTTTAACACACGAAATATTGATAACATACCATGTTGCAAACTTGGGACGCTAACACATTGTAAGCCTGGGTATTAAAATCTCCGTAATCCTCTTTCCAAGGTAAAAACTGAGGTCTCTCCCGGTTGCGCAACGCAAGTTTCAACACTATCGTGAACCTCTCTACAACAGAAAGCGATAAACATTTGAACGAAAAATTACGTGAAGTAATTATGTGAGAACAATTACTATCAGTTGCCACAATAAATCACCACTTCATGGAAACGTGAAATACACATGCTGCTTGTAATTGTATTGCATGCTCACAGTGAATTCCGCAACAGTTTTTTGACCACAGAAATGCAATGTTCACAGCTCTCGATCAACTGTTGTTTCACTCATATTTCAACATGAGAAGTACCAATGATGCTGACACCGTTTCTTGCATACACCTTCACTGGCAAACTTTCAATGAGTGGACTGCAGTTTGTTTCTAATGTGTTACATGTTTGAAGCTAGTAGACATCAGTCAGTAAGTGATTTACTGAGGTGGAATATCCTCCAGGGATAACATCATGTTGATCAGTCTCATATGTGTAGAGAATTCCATAAATCAACATCTTCAGAGTTGTCTACACTCAGCATGATTCAGTTTACAATAACATGACAGATATTCGAAAGTGTTTCTTTGAATTTCTAATGCCAATGGAGAAATATATTAGAGTGAGTGGTAACCTCAATTTGTTCCCCCGAACATATCATTCAATTGTTAGGCATTGCACATTTTTGAGGTGTTTGTCTGCATCAGGAATGCCTGAGAACATTCCAAAAGCTTTCTTCAAGCCTTGTACACTTTGCCCTTCTTTTGGGTTCTGCTTCACTGATCAACCTGTGCTTAAAATACATCGTCCGCAAACATTCGTGTTTTGGTCTTTTCGATATGCGTCGTTGTTAATCGAATTACTGGCAGCGGGCACTGCACCTAACGTATACACGAATTCAACGTATTCTCTCACATCACAGATTCATCGAAACCGATAGCTGCACTGACGCACTAAATTGATGAGCCCAACCTCATTAAACTTTCGCGAGTTTTACTGGTGGATACTATTATTGTTTTCAATTGCATACCGCAAACACAATTACTAATAACTGTACATAATATGGATTGTATTAACAACACACTTTTCTTCATCCTTGAACTTGTTTCTTCTATCCATACAATAACTAATCTCAAGTTGTATGTTAGACGTGTTCACAAACAGTTTTACATTCGTTTTTTAATAAGAAAATCATATATGCGTGTACTTGCTGTAAATTCATAATATTATTCCTTCAAGTTTAGTAAACATTTCACAATTTATACAACAAACTATTGTTTTATCTATATTTATATTATATCTATGTTATATTGTACTATATTATACTATATGTCATGCACATATAAATATACATACAATAAATATTATATCTCATACTACATTATCTATATTTAACCATGAATATCGTACACTGCCTTACTTCATTTACTATTTAGAACCATAAATATTTTGTTGTGAGTAAAACATAATATTTTATCTTGCACAATTTCCATTCATTTTACGCTAACGTGTACTTTTTATATGTCCTATATATACTACCACTGGCACTGAACCAATCGTTTGCACAAATTAAACGCATCAGCTCACATCATATTATCATTACTATTATTTGTCCTTTGGGTTACTAGTGGAACATACGGATTCAGTAGCACATCTCCATTTCACTCTCTTCTCTACAGTCTTTTGAACCTGGCACCACGACTGCCCACAAGCTCTCACCTCTTCCTCACATGATCTCATCCATATCACTCCTGACTCGGATGCCCAACTCGCCGTTTCCCCTCTAGATTCCACTCAAATGCCAGACCTGCTGCGTGATATCACCAAACCGTCTTCTCAGTGCATGCCCAATCCAATCCATCTCCACTTTCTTCCACTGCACATTTGTTGGGTGACAGATAGGTTCTTGCTTCGTTGGTTCATTGTCAGCCAGCCAGAGTTCCTTCTTGCTTATTCTTATTATTCTGGTCACCTGATCTTCAGTTGCAGTATCGAACCAGCATAGGCAGTTGTTGATGAATATCTGTAGTTTGTTGGAAATGTCTTTTGTACCACTCCAGTTCACTGAACCATATCGAGTTACTGACTTCACGTTGATGTTGAAATTCTGGATCTTGTTGTTTACGCTGAGTGCGGAAGATCTGCACACTGGTTTCAGGTTAATCAACGCCTGTCTTGCTGTATTTCCAATCCTGACTGGCTTTGACGTACTCGTCTGTGACTGTGCCACCTGTACTTGGAACGGTGCTGCCTAGATAGGTGAAAGAGTCCACTTCTCTTAAGTTTCTACAACTGATAGTGATTGGAGCTTGTCGTTGTTGTTAATGTTGTTGGTTGTGTACCATCGTCATCTCTGTCTCCTCCACGTTCACTTGAAGTGTCATCTTCGCCACCTCTACTGTCAAAACCGAAAATTGACCCCACTTACTAAATCTGTCAATCATATCACACAATTTCAGTTAGTCAGCAACTGCACAATAAGTAGCAATTGTATCGCAGTCATTACGACACATTGTTTATCAGGATTTTTCATTATTTTAACTCAACAAATTACATTTGTCTTCACCTGCATATCAGTGACTCACCGCATTCCATGTTGTGTTTGGAGCCTGTTCCATATGCAGCACGAAGTACATGATATCGAACTCTTCAATTCATAACACATCGAAATGTTTCTTATAATATGCAGACATAGTGAGTTGTGGAAACAGCGAGATGGCTCAAGTCAACCTTAATAAAACACTGAAACATAACTGAGAGAAAACTTATTGCACTTCAAATGATAAAATATTCACACAAAGTCACTTGCGATATAAGGTAGTGTGGAGGCCAAAATTGAAGAGATCATGTAAGTATCCTACTTCATTATTTAGATAATCTAATATTTTGAGGGGGTTGTGGAGATTCGGAAATATTTCAAGTTGTTATTCATCGAAGACTGACATCAGTTGGAGGAACAAAGGAAACCTGGGAGCACTGGACAGCTGTTTCGTCCTAGTATGGGACTCCTCAGCAGTGCGCACCCACGACCCCACCAGCGATGAATAACAACTTGAAATATTTCCAAATCTCCACAACCCCCTCAAAATTTAATTGAACTAGTGCTCGTTGGTGACTAGCTTCGAGAAGTATTCCCAAAGTTCCAATGACAAGTCGTGACCGGTGGAGTCAAGGCCTGATGGCCGTGAGGACAAATACTAGACGATGACATTGGGTTGCGGTTTGCGCTATATCGTGAGCTAACAGAAGTTGGAAATATGGAGCATTGGATTGTGACCCAGTGGCTCAATGGTAACGCGCTGGTCGCGGAACCTGAAGGTCGCGGGTTCGACCCAAGGAGGGGTGGGGTCGTGGGTGCGCACTGCTGAGGAGTCCCATACTAGGACGAAACAGCTGTTCAGTGCTCCCAGGTTTCCTTTGTTCCTCCAACTGATGTCAGTCTTCGATGAATAACAACTTGAAATCTAATATTTCTCAAAACTGCAGGTAATTATCTGTTGACTTACTTATAGGTGCATCCGTAACTGAACCATCGTCATTCTGTGAACTGACTTCGAGCAAGTAGTATATGGAAAGAATGAATATTGAAAACCTCATCCTGTTCTTCGATGCTGTAACTGGAATGAGAGTATAGGGGGTTGGTTAGATGCGACCGTTTGTGAAAACATGTGAATAGTTGGTTGAGTGCAATAATTGCAGCCGTCTCACTTGTTTCGAATATGGCTATCGCACACTGTTCCCATGCACTACTATCCACATAGTATAAATGCACTGCAAAATTCCATTCTGATAACTCTTGTCTGAATGCATCTCTCAGATACTTCACCCTACTGATTCATTTGTTATCGAAAGATGACAGTCTACATGATACACTCTCTCGTCACTATTTTCATGGTGATTGAATAGATTTGTTCACAGTCACGATATTTGTGAATGAGTATAGTAGAACTATTCCTTCCACTGAATGATTCAATGACAGCAAAGCAGACTGGAATCACGGTAGTTGTTCACCATTGTTCTCATCTCTTCTCTCTCTTCAACATCTCAATAATGACCAAACCATTCGATTTTCACACATCTCTGTTTCAACATGAAAATAATGAGGTTTAGCAATGCCGACTCAGTAAACTCTTCTCACAATAGAACCCATTTCATACAGCGTGTCCGGTTCGAAAATGAAAACGAGATATGAGAAACAAATCACAACATATATATGTCAATATTGAATAAAAGATGTTCAGTGAAAACTCACACTACACAAGCCAGTTGGTCTCAGTGAATATGATGAATAGTTTTTTTCAATAGCTGACACATGAATTTCTTTTTATACAGAACAATCAGTACTGTTTTGAACAATGATCACATACAATGAAGGTGAATGTGATTGGAGAAAATGTGTACTTCATATCGGTGTCACGTGGAATAATTAGGAATGGTGGGAACTTTTCTTCAGTTGACCTGTGTTCAATTAAGTTTTGGTAGTGAGTGTTATAAATAAAGTAACCCGACTGATTATATAGTACAAACAAGATATCTAAACGCATTAAAATTATAATCCACTGAGAGTGCAACCAAAAATTATCGACTGTCAGTGTTCATCTCAGACTACAATGATATTTCTTCTGAAGCCGGAAAATCCTTCCCCCATACACAAGGTTGTTATGACATGTCATTGTAGAAGTCAGTAAACAAAGCGAAACTGGCAAGCTCCTCCTCTTCCTTGACCACCTCAGTACGCATTCATGCATATTACTCTGTAACAGTGAGTTTTTCCATCTCTCATCGAAAACAGGAGGTGTTACATAATTAAGAATTCTCTCCAC